TATATATATATATATATATATATATATTATAAATTACCTCATTATATCCGTATTGTTCTTGTGTGCCCTGTCGCCTCAATCTGTGAAATATAAAAATGTAGCATTACATACATTAAAAAATTATGTTTTCCTTCACATTCTTTCACTACAGCAGTTTGATGTACTGTACTTGCACTGTATTAATGCATTCATCTTATTACGTTTTTTCCTGTTTTAAATTTCATAATTTCTGTTTTTCCTTTTTCATAATTTGAAATGGGCTTTTATTATATTTTTACTTTCTTTATAATGCTTACGGAAAGGACTATAAATTACCATTGTCTATTAAATAAAATGCTACATAAATACAGTTACTATGTGATGCTTAATACAGCTATTTATCTTCATTTTGTGTAAATATCCACAGCACTTTCATTGTAACTGCTATATAGTTTAAGATACCTGAACAGGTAGCAACAGAAGATCATGCTCAACATGAAGATGAAGAGGCCAATCCCAAGAATGATGACATAGACATTGAGTGGAAGACGACCGGTGATGTCTGTGGTCATTTTGCAGAACTTGTCTGTAATCTGTTAATCTGAGTCACATAGGCATGCTGCAAGAGAACAAACAAAACCATGATTTTTCTCAACAATATTTGTTAGTGTTTATGTTAAGAGTCATGAGAGCTCAAGACTGCGGAGCATTTATTTTTGCTCATCCTTTTTTTAATCAGTGAAATGAATACACAATTGAAATGGAATAAAAGCATAGACATTGTTTATTACTCATACATCATGAATCTGTTATACGAGTGGGTCACATATTTCTTTTTGTCAGACCCTTGAAAGACAACACACATCACTGTGATTCTCATGTGTACACTTCTCAGTGTCCCCTGCATGCATATTGCATACTGTGAGCCTGCGGACTGTCCTCGTGTTTCTCAACTCAATGTAACACTGCTCTCATTGTTGGACCTCGCTGAGCAGCATGAACTTTTCACTGTAATACAGCTTTTAAAACTGAAAAACAAGAGATGTAACAGTGGTGTCGGATGATGTGTTCAACAGATAAGTGCAATAGCTTATGTTTTAACGTTCATTATTTACTGTACAGTTTAAAATAGATTGCAATGTAATTTTTAAATCACAGCAAAATACGGCTGTTAATGTGTACATACAAAATTCAACTGAATTTTCATGCAGTCTATTGCAGGAAGTTTGATGTAACCATACTATATCTTTGTCTTTGTTGTGATGGAAAAAAAACAGTCATCTTGTGTTTTTATTTAGCTAGCTAGCTGTTTATTTACTTAATCAAGTCTTGTAGAAGTCCTCCAAAAGTCCTTGTTAAGTGTACCATGTTGACTTTCAGGTTCAAGCTATTTCATCACACATTGGAGAATTTTCAGAGCAGTGAACATTATTTAGACAACAATGGTTTAACCTATATCCTAAGGCAATACAAGTAAATAGCAACACAAAACCAGTCAGCATGATGTTACAAGGCTTTTAGTATCTGGGAGTGAAACTGTCATCTGTGAATCCAAAACTAATCAGTTGCCTCTATAATTTGGTAGAAAGAATATTGCTCTGGGCTCTCAAACTATAAATGTTTTCTTTAGCATGATTGTCAGTATTTTCAGACTGCCATAGACCCAAACACTGTTAGCATAAAGAATAGATATCCACACTTCATTGCACTGTGTCTGCCGATTGAAACAAAAGCAGACAAGAAACGCTCCATATATACATATATACAGGTGTATCTCAATAAATTAGAATGTCGTGGAAAAGTTCATTTATTTCAGTAATTCAACTCAAATTGTGAAACTCGTGTATTAAATGAAGTTCCTTAACGTAAGTTAGGGAGGAGCGAGCCCATCTAATCTTTCAATCAACAGCCAGAGTATATAAGCAGCTGCTTACCTCTCTCCAGTCGCAGCTGTTCCAGCATCCCTCCACCTCCCCAAAACTCCACCTTCATCTTAGGTACCTTGCCCTTCGTAATCATCCTATATCAAGTCCCTGGGGGTATATCAGAGCTCGAGTTGAAGCTGCTTCATCGAGCCCCTCACCAGGGGACAGCAAGCCATATAAGTTTACACACAAATTCCTTAAAGATTATATGGGCAAACGAACTCGTTAAATAAATTCAATGCACACAGACTGAAGTAGTTTAAGTCTTTGGTTCTTTTAATTGTGATGATTTTGGCTCACATTTAACAAAAATCCACCAATTCACTATCTCAACAAATTAGAATACTTCATAAGACCAATAAAAAAAACATTTTTAGTGAATTGTTGGCCTTCTGGAAAGTATGTTCATTTACTGTACATGTACTCAATACTTTGTAGGGGCTTTTGCTTTAATTACTGCCTCTTTTTACGGCGTGGCATGGAGGTGAATTTTGTTAAATGTGAGCCAAAATCATCACAATTAAAAGAACCAAAGACTTAAACTACTTCAGTCTGTGTGCATTGAATTTATTTAATACACGAGTTTCACAATTTGAGTTTAATTACTGAAATAAATTAACTTTTCCACGACATTCTAATTTATTGAGATGCACCTGTTTACACACACACACACACACACACACACACACAACAGTAGAAAAAGAATGCTGTTGTTATATATATGCTATTCATATGCTCTTCAGTATGCTTTAATAAATTAAAACAGTATTTATTTAGTGCAATAAACATGTCAGTGCTCCTTTTTGAAAGTGGAGTTAAAGAAAAGGTAAAAAGATGCTAAGATTTAGCTATATCAATCAACTACAACTGAAAACAGAAATAAATGGTGCTTGAGGGCCAGTAGTTCCTAATGGGGTGACAATGATTTAAACAGTATTTAGTGTTGTAAATACTGTGTTTCGGAATTTTAAGCCTTTTAAATGCAAGTAATGAATTTAATATCATTCAACCATTAAAACATTAATATTCTTACTGTATACAGATTTGTATTTTCAAAAGAAAGAGCAAGAGAGCATTTGGCAACGAGAGCGAAGCCTGGCCAATTGTCTGTGCAGAAAGACAAACACTAGTGGTGCACCCTTTCTGCCATAAAGCCACCATCTGGTCTTTCTGTTAGGGGTTGAGGGGGAGGCAAGAAATGTGAAGGCCTCAACAACCCAGGCAGGAAGCACCATTTGGGGGGAGAACAATAATAAGTGACCTCAGGGTCGAACACTGCCAAACAACCACACAATAGATACAGACACATAGTGTGTCTCACAAGTTCAGGTCTTGGAAGAGAGTGTGCCAATCAGGAGAAAGGTAAAAAGGCTTGGGTTTTCAGGTGAAGGAGGGGGTGGAAGTAATATAAGGAGGATTTTAGTTAAACATTGATAGAAAGCCAGTGGGAGGGTCAGGGGCTCTGTGAATAACACATGGTTATGGAGCTGTTCAGATTATATAGCCACTAGAAATGAAGGGAAGAGGAGGAAGGGGTTATGATTCATACTCACCGTTACACCACTGGATAGGTGCTTGCTCCGCTATACCAAACGATCCAGTAACTTGTGTCCAAGGAGACAGTGTTGAAACCCGGCCAAAGGAGTGGGCCAATCCCCTTACTCAAAACCAGATGAATAATACAAGTTTTACACACCCAAAACTCCTACCACAAAAACACAGCTTTCAATATTCAGCGCCTCTGGTTAACACATTACGATCACCCACCAGCTCCTCACTGGCGTATGGAGGAAGGCAGGGTGATTTTGTTTTCTTTGTGTTGAAACATTTACAAAGCCAAGTCAGTCATTGTTGAAACCTGTGTCAACACGGGAACAAATATCAACACCTACTTCTTGGTATCTAAAATGTTTTGTTCAACCACAGGCAAGTTAAAAGAACACCATGTGCTCTTTTTTTCCAGCATCATGATCCAAAACAAGCGGCAGCATAGATTCTGAAAGATTTGCAATGTGTCTTTGACATCGACAATGGATCACCATCTACCTCTGCTTGACGTGAAGTTGTTGTCACTGGCTTTTTTTCATTTTTTTACCTCTCTGTAGAGTCACGATAACAAAACAGTGAGAGAGACAATGTACATTACAAAGAGTCACAGATTTCTTTGTCTATCTTCAAAACATTGTCAGAAGGCTCACCCCTTCTTGCCGTCAGCCACTTTCCTCTAGTCTTCTCGCCCTAGATTATCACCCTCACGCTACAATCAACTGTTTTCCCCGGTAACAAAGGAAGAGGAAGAGCGGTGGCACACAGCCGTCAGAGCGAGAGCTTGTGAATGCAGCCCATTCAAAGCTGTGTCTTCCTCACACCATCTGGTCTGGCTTCTCCGCTGCAAAGACACAAAGGATAAATTGCATTTTCCAGACAAAGTGATGAGATTCCTGTGCGTTTCCTGTCGCCTTGTCCAGCAGCCCTGCCTCCACGTAATGGTGCCGATGACTTCTCTCCTGCTCAGTTTGTAAACAGATCTCGGCTCATGTGATTCGCTGTCTGGATCACAGCTCTCCTTTCACCCGCCCCCTCCTCGCTCTCCCCCTCTCCCTTTCTATCCTCTCTTCATCCTACTTCTCTCCAGCTGAAGGCTATTAGGAGGTGACAGTGGCCAGGCGAGCAGACAGGCAGGCCGAGTCAGACTCTCCCTGATGAGTCTGTGTAAGACAAGGCTGGGAGGGGAATGAGGGTTGATTCACTTTGCTTGACTGGCAGTCACCAAAACAGTAAGAGACTACAGAGGGAAAACAGTGAGAGTGTGACGCAAGAGGTAAAATATAGAATAGAATAGAATAGAATCTAAGGATACTCGGAGAGCAACCCTTCTGTGTTGCAAAAAAATGAAAAAAGAACATGTGACAGAAGCAGTAATTTCATCACTGCAAAAATAAATAAATAACAAAACAAACAAATAAACAAAACACAGCTAATTACACAGTTTTAGTCAAGAGATCAACTCATGTACAGACAGGAAATATGCAACTGGTGATTCATGTTGCACAATATCAGTGTGTTATGTAAAAGGTGCTTTTGCTAAATCTCCCTGAAGATGTCAAGTTCAGCTCAATCGATAGAATTTGTGGCATAATGTTGACTGACAAAAATGTTTGGCCTTGTTGTCTTTAATAAAAAAAAGAGTTAAAAGTGTCAAGGCATTTTTACCCTTTTTCACAATTAAAGTGAAACGGGGGGAAATGTTTGGACGATTTAAAAGAAATGTGAAGCTTGTAATTTTATGAAACTACTTAAATTATTATTAATTTAAAGTATTAACTGAATTCTTTTTAGAAATTCTTTGGTTTTAAGTATTATTTGTGCTTAAAGGTTTTTTGTTTATGGCAATGCATTGTCATGTCAATAAAGTTGCAAAAATTGATGTAACGTTACACAGAATAGCAATAAGCAATTTTCAAAAAATCATGTTAACATATTGTTTACACCTTGGGGTTAACTAACGAACTAAATTCAGCCAGGAATATTCCTTAAACATATGAAAATAAAATATTTTATTTTCATCTCTTCTCTGAGCAAATTTTGCAGTCACGTGAGCTTTTTGATGCACATTTAAGAATTGAATTGGTAAATTTGCTTCTAATGCACTGGATGTAAACCCAGCAACTGTGAACCAACCAATCTTTCTCAGCTTCAGTTAACTGGGCCCATGATCAAATATCATGAAAGGATTCACTTCACCTCATCAACAACCCCACTGAACACAGATCAGTATTTTCCCTGTACACCAAATCAATTACCATGTGATCACCTCTCATGGCTTCTGTTAAACTGGCAATTTTATTTAAACAATGCTCTAATGATCCTCTTTTTTCCTACCCTCTGACAACCAGGTACCCTCACATACAGTGGGGAAAAAAAGTATTTAGTCAGCCACCAATTGTGCAAGTTCTCCCACTTAAAAAGATGAGAGAGGCCTGTAATTTTCATCATAGGTATACCTCAACTATGAGAGACAAAATGAGAAAAAAAAACCAGAAAATCACATTGTAGGATTTTTAAAGAATTTATTTGCAAATTAAGGTGGAAAATAAGTATTTGGTCAATAACAAAATTTCATCTCAATACTTTGTTATATACACTTTGTTGAATTTACCAATTAATTCTTTAAAAATCCTACAATGTGATTTTCTGGATTTTTTTTTCTCATTTTGTCTCTCATAGTTGAGGTATACCTATGATGAAAATTACAGGCCTCTCTCATCTTTTTAAGTGGGAGAACTTGCACAATTGATGGCTGACTAAATACTTTTTTGCCCCACTGTATCACTGCATGCTTGGCAATCATCTCTGCCTGGATGAATGCCCATCATTTGAACCTGAAATGATCAAAAACCAAGCTGTTGTTCCTTGAAGCCAAGAAACACCCTTGCCAAGACCTTGTCATTTCAATAGACAACTCGACCATCTCACCCATACAGAAACCCAAGAACCTTGGTGTCACACTGGACAATGAGCTGTCAACTGCAACCTCCATACTAACAACAGTCATATCGTGCAGATCCCTCCTGTAAAACATTTGCCAGACTGTGGTATAGGCCCCAACCTGCTATTGTCTCAGCTACTGCAATGACTCTTGGCCAACCACCCAGTGTGTGCAATCAAACCTCTGCAGCTCATGCAGAATGCTGCAGTCCGGCTAATATTCAACCTTCCCAAGTACTCCCATGTCACATCTCTGCTGCACCCCCTCCATTGCTTCCTATCCCTGCACAAATCAAGTTCAAAACACCGTTCTAGCTTTCAAGGCAGTTGAAACAGTTCTTAATAGAACCATTTTGTTCTTACTGTGATTAACATTTTAATGTAAAGATTTTTTTCCACTACAAAGAACCTAATGTGCAATGAAAAGTTAATGTTAATGGTTCATCATGGAACCATAGATGCCACTAAAGAACCTTTATTTTTAAGAGTGTAGGCTGTATCTGCATTTGCCTGAGCAGGTTTTTTCCTCTAGTAAAAAATATATTATATATAGTATAATGTAGTATACCAGTTTAGTATGCCAAAATGGTACTGCAGGGTATTTTTATTAAGTATATAAATATGTAAATGTATTTGTAGTATACTTAGCATGAAATAAATATATTTCAAATACATTTTAGTATATTGTTTTTTCACTTGTTTGTATTTGTACAGGAAGCATTTTTTAAATTGTATATAGCATTACAAATGCGTGCTTGCCATCTATTCATCACAATGGTTTCATATGTGATGATGCTAATGCAATTTTGTAGGCCATTCTGCAGAAGAGCATCTGCTAACTCTCTTAAATTACATAAATTACATGTCAGTAGTAGTTAATAACATCATTTGAACAGTTTTTTTCCATCTTTATGGAAAAGCATACTTTTCATTGTGTTTTGTTCTAGCAAATATGTTTTAGTGTGCATTAGTATTAATTCATTAGACACTAATTTGTCAGATGCACTTTATTGCTTAGCAAAGTGTAACAAGAGGTCATCTTAACCTGAGAGTACATCATGTCTCTTAAAACAGATGCTAAATAGTTCATTGTGTGTTATCAATATATGACCATTTAAAGGCAGAGTAAGTGATTTTTCAAAAACACTTTAGAAAACTGATTCGGGCCGAATCGCAAAACAAACTTGTAGCCAATCAGCAAAAAGGGGCATGTCTACTTGAGAGGAGGAGAGCGCGTTCAGTGCATGGGACGGACATTAGCCGAGCCGAGCGACAGAAAGATAGAGATGGCGGATAAAAAACGACCGTTGAAAACCATTAGAAATTTGTGTCAGCATGTCATAAATAGAACCCGACAGCAGTTTTCTGTCAGTGATTTGTTGCGCCGCGCCGCTCACGTGCGGTGTAGACCCTGTGTAACATTGGCTTTGCTTTGTTTCACAGAACTAATCGTTGCCTGGGTTGCGTACGTATGTGTGGGGCGGAGCTATCAAAATAGGGGCAAGACCCTTTTGGGGTAGGGGCGTGTTTGTTTTGGTGATTTCAAATATCAACATTGGCTACCAGAAATCACTTACTCTGCCTTTAAGCTGCCAGTCTCCTCTCTACTAAGCTAAAACAGATCATATTATCCTTAAAAAAGGAAGAAACTGAACACTCTGAATTACAGCCTTCAGTGACAAATATCAACATAATACTCAAGCATGTTTACCATGAAGGAACAACAACAACAAAAACAATAAATGAAAAATTCTGAATTTATAAAATCGATATTTAAAACAGAAAGCAAAAAATGTTTTTCATTCACCTAACAGTTGTTCTCTTTTGTATACATATCCCATTTGTTTAAGCGGCTGTACACAGGAGTGTCATCGATCTCTCTGTACATGTAAACCCCAGTGACGTGGTTCCACTCCATTCTGGGAATGACACTCTTGATTCCCTTGCAGTCTTCTAGAAGCTGTTTCTCCTGATTTTCCAAGGCCACAAAGCCAAAGAAGTTCTTGACACATTCAGCTGCATGGTATTTAGAATGTACTTCAGCTGTACGCTGGAAAAGATCTTGTTCGTTGGAACGATACTGGGTCCAGTACGCCTCCTGTTGATAGCCAAGGGTAGAGCAGCAGTGTTTCATACAGAGGAGCAGAAAGACAGCGAGAGAGATGATTCCCAACAGCAACCAGCCCAACAACTAGATAAAGAAAATAAAAAAGAGGAGGTTATACATTTCATACATTTGAGTAAATGCCCAATGATATTAGAACTATATATTTAATCAAGGACTATAACAAGACTATATTGCAGTGATAAATACCTGGGATTCATACTTTAGCTGGCGTTCAATCACTCTTGAGTAGTTCATAAATGGAGCAGGTATATCCTTACACGGAAACCTGGCCATGATCTCTGGAGTCTTTGTAGTAGGAGGGAAATGATCCAAAGAAGAGGGGTCTACAAACTCACTTAAAGCACAAACATACGCCTCTCCTCTCAGGAGGGAAATAACTGACCAAGTGATGGGGGCAACAACTGCTCTCCCCAAAATGGAACCTAACAGAGCAAAAGCAGCAGACAGTGATAATTTCCGACATTTTCTGGTGCGGCACTCTGACACAACGTCCCAGGTATTTCGATTGAGCATCACCCCAATGACAAAGAAAGCAAGAGCTGGTACACCAATTGCTGCCAGACCATACAGGTAATTCTTCTTTGGTGAACATGGACAGTTAAATGCAAAAATATTGTATGCTGTCTGACTGGCTACTGTCCCTAAACCTATCAGGCCATTGAAGATCATGACATCTTTACTCTTGAAGAAGAGCGCGACAAATTTGAAGTTTTCTGAGATGAGTGCAGCCATCTTGTCCTGATTTTCTCAATGTGAATTACTGCAGATTAAACCAAGTCTTTGAGAGAGTCTCTGTGAAGTAAACCTAAAACACTGACAAAGACAGAAGAGTGAAGAGTCCTCCTTTGTTATCTGACACCATCATACAGAAAAGCAGAAACAGACGCTAAAAGCTAGAGAAATGTAGATACATAAAAAAAATATGCATGTGTACAAATCAGAAGATTATGAGATAAACATTCAATTCAAAGACCGATTTCAAGCAGAAAAGCTCTCTGAACAAAGACCCTTTGGGCAAGTCTCAGCACGACACTGAGCCCGAATTAGAAACTAAAAACCATTTAGAAACGGAGAGACTTACATTCCATTG